ATCAGAGCGACGAAGGCAAAATCCCTCCCAGAGACAGCCACCCCATTGATCACGTAGGACAGGTTGTCTCTGAAGTCCACATGACAGAAGCCCAGATTGAGTGTAAAGGCAGGGGTGGTGCCATTTCGTGGAGCCATGGAGAAGAAAGGGGCTGCGATGCATATGGCCATATTGAGAAGCCACAGTCCTGCAAAGGTGGGGAGGACCAGGGAGGGAAGTGCAGGCTTCAACCTGGACAAACGGGGGCCCGCGGGGGCGATGGTCACTGCCTGAAACACACTGAGCATGCAGGTTATGCAGACTGATAAAGCCCGGCCGATCCGGTAGGCGTAGATCACCACCTTACACCCGGGATCATTCAGCAGGTCCCTCAGCCCAAACACAGTCATAGTCTGGGGGACGCAGCGGGTCAGCAGGAGCATCAGGTTGGCAAAGGCCAGATGACACAGGATCATGTCTACAGGAAGCAGCTTGGGTTCGGTGAAAATCATGTGGGCGTACGCCAGCAGCACCACGGTGTTCCCCAAGATGCCCATACCTGTTTGCAAGAGGAAGGAGACCCCTTTGATGGTCACACACAGATCCATGACACCAAGGCCTGCACCCGGCATGATTTGAAAAGCAGACAGAGAATCAAATCTGTTATGAATACACTGCATACAAGAAACACCCTCATCAAGCATGATAGAAACATAATACAGCCTGAATATAATTGTGTCATCTGTTTCTTTCAGTGAAAATAATGCTCACCTGAAGTTGCAGATTAAAAGTAGTAAAGCTTAATAGCCTGTGTAATTACAATTTATAGCCTTCGATGCCCCTTGAGATCATTTGCCAACATTGTGTTCAACCCACAGTTTGGCAAATTAAAACCACAAACTAAATCTGACTCAGATGGTCTCGGAGGGCAAACACTGCAAAGGGAATATAGTACCACTGAAAGATACACACAATGCTTCAAGTACGTCTTAAAACAATAGTCAGGTGCCCATTTGAACACTTTTTGCCTGCTGTAATCATTCATCCTGATCATACTGGCTGTGAGATCCCTTCCTGCCATTCTTATAATGGAAGTGATGGAGGACAAGCTCTCGTTCACGTGAAGTTAAATGAGGCTCAGTCTTTTTTAACCTCTTTGTGTTTCCTTGCTGTGCTGCAGCCGAGAGATAGTAACACAAAGAGGGAATTTAGTACTAAAAGTCTAGAAGATAGCCTCATTTGTCTAACTCAGACTGCGGAAGCGTCACATTCATTTCAGATAAACTTTGGAAATTATAATTTTCCACAGAACAGAGACTGTGGATTATGTCCTTCCTCTCGTCTACTGGAAACATGTTAACCAGTACTACTGCTAGTGGCGAGTATGAACAGGAGGGATGATTACAGCAAGCAAAACCGGTTTCAGCGTTTATATGAGAGTGTGAGTGTCGCTTTAATTTGGACTTGTTTTTCTTGTGAATCTATCCTATAACTTTTAATGTGACATCCTAAAAATTGTGTTATTTATTTTGAATTCCAGTGCTGCTGGAGAACATTTTCAGGTTTTGGAGACAGTTACAGAACCACAAGCACGATATCAAACTTTAAAGAAATGTGGCATGAGTCTGTAAATCACCCTCCTTTTTTAATATGAATGAAAGTGCTCCAGGCTGAACATCAACATGGTATTCCAGATTAGTTTTAGGTTTTAATGTTGGGGAATTGTTCATCATCATAAAAAGTAATTGAACTGCCTGAGGTTATTTGAATAACATATGTGAAATCTTATGTGAACTCTAAACTTGAGTCACATTCTCCTGTACTTAAATCCCACAGTTGTCAATTTCTATAGACAGAAAGACTGCATGTCAGTCTTCTGAAATAATGTAATGCTATTTCCCTGTGGAGTTAAAAAAAACAGAGTCAAACAATCCCTGCAGAGACAACAGTGTGCATTTATTGTTGATGCATAAGCAGCCTGATGATGCTTTGAATGAGCCATCAAGAGGCTTTTACATGCACAGCTGGTGCTTCACCTCGCGTTCTTTTCCTCCTTCATGTCCTGGGAGCATGTTAAAAAACACAGAGGAGCGAGACAATTAGCCGTATAACAATGCGTATTTGTACTAATTGGGGGCATGGGGACAATCAGCCATTATTCATTTATGTTCTTAACTCTCTGCACTGACATGCTACAACAGAAGTTGTTTATTCACTTTACCGCAGTATCCACATAAGCTTTGAATGGCAAATGCGTCTTACATTAAAAACGCTCCATTCTATGTGACTGTTTTCTCAGTTGCAAAATTCAGACTGGATCTGTGAGCTGAAACTGTTTGAGAAGCGTGTTTTCTCCCGGGAGTGGCCTTTAGAATAAAGCACCATCAGATGTGTTATTTCCCTGTGTGTTTTTTCACACGTTTACATGTTCAGAGAGCTAATTAAAATGGCAAGTTCAAGCATGTCCTTCTCAGGGGGACTGCATCATGTACAGTACGCTGCATTACAAGTTTAAAAATCCAGGCTTGTTTCCCCCCTGACAATGGATGTGATTTCTTTTTGTTTATGGATGATGTAAATAGTTTTCCCCATTACACTAATTCAGTCTAATTTTTACATCAACTAATTGCTTTACAATAATATCCATAGAGAGGAAGCTTTCATATATATATGTACATATTGCCCAGTGTTTTAAATCCAAATGTTTTTTTCTGTACATGCAATAATATACTGTATGTGACACATCATATTGTTTTCTTATTAAGGAATTGCTTTATGGATAAAACAGTATCAGTTGATGGTTTTGCATGTATATTAAAAGACATACTGTAGATATAATTGTTTAAAATACATTGCTGTTTAATACAACATGGTTTATGTTTAGCATCTATTAAGCATCATTATGTGATTAAATCAGGTCACCTCTCAAGTGTTTGAGTTCTTTGTTTTTATACAACTGAGGTTAGTTTCAGAGATATGTAACTTTTTTTGAACCTTTTACACCTTTAAGCATGCTGGTGAGGGCAACAGCTTTGGTTGGTGAAGAGGGAATATTCAGCGCACCCCACACTGTTCAAGATAATCTGTCCCACAGCAAAAATGTGGTTTAAGAGGCTTTTGGCTTAGCATTCTCCTGACTGATATTGATGGGCCTTAGACTCTATTTGCATTTAAGGGGAGGGGAGCAATATTGACCTCCTGTGACCTTATATTTTATTTGACTCTATATCTACAGTATACACACGTTCTGTCCTTTCTAATATCTTTCTAACATACAAGTAAAATAACTCAATCATGCATAATGCTCAGTCGAAAACACAAATTGAGCTTTAATGTAATTTCATTCCACAGTCAGAGTGCCTTTGCCTATCACATTAAATCCACAGAGATTATTCATCAGTTCAGGTCTGTCTGCAGTTTTCTCTCTGTTTTCTAATTTTTTGTTCATATCATATGTTTTCTTGTGTTACATGTACCTTAGAGTCTGTGTGTGATCTATGTTTCACCTGACTAGGACAAATTTCACTTTGAGGACAATAAAGTTAAATGTGAAGTACAGTGGTGGAGAAAGAAGTTGGACCCTTAAGTCTAAGTAGCAATATCACACTGTTAAATTACTCCACTACATGCAAGTCCTGCATTAAAAATGTTATTTAAGTGAAAGTATGTAAGTAATATTAGCAAAATGAACGCAAAAGTACTCAGTGGAGAAAAATGGCTCCTGTGAGTGTTACACTATTACTGTATATATCATATAATTAGATTATTGTTCCTAATGTCTTAGTATCCTTTCATTGTTGCAGTTAGTTAAGGTGAAGCTAATTCTAAATGCTTTGTATAATATTTGGTATAAACTATCTTATAGAATGATTATGTTTTATATGTAAAATCCTCATTTGTAAAGTAACTAGTAATTACAATGATTTGACTAGCCCCTTAATGAAAGTCCCTTAAAACACCAACTCAGCACTATCAATACCTGAAAACCTCTAAAATAATGTTCACAATAATAATGCAATGAGGTTATTTTACACGTAACTCATCTCATTTATGGTCATAGTGTAGTATTTTCTCTTTCAGGGGAGGACATGTTTCATCGTGTACTTGGGTTTAATATTCATTATCTAGTCCCTGCTGTGGGACATGTTGCAGTTAAATCATGCAGCCCACCCGCACTGATTTGCCCTTACAAGATCCTCGCAGTTTAGGTTTAATTCAATTTTTAGAACTTTTATTGCTTCGGATGAATTATACAATCATAAATTGGATGCTATGTCACGAATGAAACTGTGGGTAATCTATCATGAGTGGAACGTCCTCTGGCTTTTACTTTGTTTCAACTTTCTCCACTGGAGGACACTGTGGTGTTTGTATTTGACTAACCAACACAAGAAAGGCCTCTTTAATAGGTAGCAGCTTTTAAAATTGATTGCACAGATTAAAAATACAAAAAGTAAAGTGAAGGGTCTTAAAAGGAAATCTAAATATAGGATCAGTAATTAGAAAAAGTATTCAGTAGTCTCCACTCAGTAAAACAGTGACACTGAGAAATCGTTTTAATCTTTTTTGAGTATAAACATGACGCTAATAGATATTATCTCTTCATTAACACCATTTTCTCTGTCCACTGGTTGTCCCCTTTGCACCCTGCAAATGAATCCAAACACAGTGCACAGTGTTATCCTGTCAGTCTGAAATCCAGTGAGGGGACAGAAGCAGTCATCTGAATTGATCTCAAGTAATTGGAGGCTGAGGGAAGAGAAGTCAATCGACCATGAAAAACAGATCCAACCACCGCTACCTGTTTGCAAGTATAAGAACACAAACAACCTGACTACTTTAGGAGAGAGGGATCAGGGACAAGGTCCACTTAAGACCTCCTTAGCTTCGAGTTATTCTCAGGTAGAGGTTTACGCTTCACTTTGAAGGCTACGTATTAATCAACATTCAGAAAGACGTTACAAACAATGGCTGTTATTTTTTTAATTGGTAAGGTTGCTTTGTACTCTATCCCCGCAGGAATGCCGTCAGTGGAGTTTGTCCGTGGGATGCTCTACGTGTCCCTCACTGTTGTGGGAGTCCCGGGTAATGCTGCTGTCATCCTGGCCTTCCTCCTCTTGCTGTACCAGGAGAACCGGCTCCTGCCAGCTGATGCCATTGTCTTGCACCTGGCCTGCGCCAACCTGATGGTGGTGGGTGTTCGCTGTCTGCTGGAGACCCTAGCCTCCTTCCGCCTCGCCAGCATCTTTGGAGACGTAGGCTGTAAGGCTGTGATCTTTATCTACAGAACATCCCGTTCCCTCTCAATCTGGCTCACCTTCGTCCTGAGTGCCTACCAGTGCCTGAGCATTGCCCCTCCCGGATCACGCTGGGCCTCTGCACGCACCTTGGTAGCCCAGTATTTGGGCTTTGTGTTCCTCTTCCTCTGGCTCCTCAACACCTGCATGAGCTCATCAGCCATACTCTTCTCCTTTGGCACCCAGAATGACTCCAGCCTAATAAACCATGGCATCAATGTACAATTCTGCTATGTTAACTTTCCTTCAAAGTTGTCCAAAGAAGCAAACGGGGCAGCTCAGGTGGGGAGAGACGTGGTGCCCATGGCCCTCATGACTCTAGCCAGCCTGATCATCTTGGTCTTCCTTTACAAGCACAGCCAGCATGTGAAGGGGCTCCGCAGCAGTAGTGGCGGCGGTGGGGGGAGTAGTGGGGCCGAGCAACGAGCTGCCAAAGCTGTGGTAGCACTTGTGACCTTATATGTGGTCCTCTATGGGGTAGATAATGGGCTTTGGGTGTACACTCTCACTGTGAAGAAGACTATGAGCTCCTCGCTGATCTCTGACCTGCGTATATTCTTCTCCTCACTCTATGCAGCGCTAAGCCCAGTGGTCATCATTGCATCTAACAGGAAGGTGAAAGAAAGGCTGAGGTGTGCAGTGCAGGAGAAGCCTATTCAGGAGAAAGCAACAAGTCTTTCTACAATGTGAGGCCTGCTGCGGGGGAATTATACTGATACTCACAGAGCAGCACAGGAAGCCAAGATGATGTGGACTGAAAAGTCTGGGTCATGTGTGGTCAGTCCATATTTTCATAGATGTGGTAAATTGTGTTGTGCAATGGGAACTGAAGGAGAGACTCGTCTTTCTTCTGTAGTGGTTTGAGTGGTTGTGAATTCATAATAATTATGTTTTTTCTAATGTTTATTGAAATATTTTTTGGGGACTTTTCAGATATAAGTCATGAGGGTTTTATCACCTGTAGCTCAGGATGAGATGCTGTACATGAGGGTAAGGGGACCCTATAGACTCTCTGGCTATAATTAAGGAAGAAAACTGTCATAATGACCTTGTTACTCGGTACAGTTCTCTACGAATCTCTGCTGATCTGGCACTATGTTGCTTTGTTTGTTTATTCATTATGCTGTCTCTATCTTAATTGGATGGAAGAATTATAGCCGGGTGACTCAGTAGCTGTCAAATGACTTCCAGCTGCCCATTTAACTATAATTAAAGCTTTGAATAGAATCTGGGAAATGTCCTGTGCTAATGAGGCAGGTTAATTGTCCCACAGAGAACTGGTTAAATACCTGATGGAAAAACTATATTCTTTAGGGGAAAAAAAGAAAAGATGAAAAAGATGTTCATTACTCTAATACTGAATTACTCAATACAATCCTCACAATGTACGTCTTAGTTCTTCGGGTGCAGTTGTAAGAAGAGCAGACTGTAAGGACTCAAAGCTACGACTTGGCACACGCCCTGAAGAGTTTGCTGTGGATGTGGCAATGTGGGAATTTAGGAGTCATTATGTAATTGCCATGTCTTGGGAGAAGCAAGGACAGAAAGACAGGGTGAGGACATAACGACCTCTGTGAGTGACAGTCCAAAAGACATAAAGTGGGGCTGCCAGTGCTCTGTGATGCTGCTATAACTCTAAAGTGCAATCAGTGCAGCACTTTTCAACTGCTGTCGCAATGCAGGTGCGGAGGAGGAGAAGTCCTCTTTCTGTGCTTGTGCAGAACTGTGGCATTCAACACCAGGTTGACATCAAAGGATATACAATACAGTTGATCTTTTGTCAAAGAGCAATAATCACTTTTTATTGTTAAAGTTTCAACCAATAAAACCCTCCATAATGTGAGTAGATTTCTTTTTGAAAGCTTCTCTCCAGATGACAAATTCCAATGCGTCTTATTCTTCAAACCACTGAAATCTGATTGGCACTTTACACAGACTCCGGTGGAATGAAGGATAGAATACATGGATGGTTTCATTAGAGCAGCGAGCGTGCTGGCGCCTCCGGTGAGGAATCACTGGGAATGAAATAGTTGACACGGCCGATTCCCTTCAACGCCTTAGATGATGTCATTTCTTTCTTTTTCTTGTCCGATAAGAAGTGGCACCTACGGTTGAAGGAACAAATACATGACAACAGGTTCCATTGTGAGTATGTTCATGCTCCTTTCTATGTGTGTGTGTTGTGTGTGTGTGTGTGCTGTGGTGTGTGTGGGGTGTGCCGGCCAGGGCCCTCTCCCTGCACAAAAGATCAGGACCTGTTTCGCTGTTTTCCATCCTTCGAGGTCTTTTGAGCCCAGTGAATCAGGGCTGTTAAACCCTCT